TGATATTATAAAGTATAGTATATAACATAACTCTCATAAGTAACTATATATCCAAACCGACCGAAGAAACTACTTGTATATATATCATTCGATGTGCCAGAAAGTGTTTCTTAAAACTGCTTATATAAAAATAAATGGTATACATATGATTTAGAGTACTTTTGCTACAAGTATCCGCCAAATATAGACATACATATAGTTGGATAGTCACCTCTAAGATATTAGTCTGTCTGTTATTCGAAAACACCCCGCCGTCTTTTTTTTGCGCACAAGTAGTTCTTACTATGTTCTAGAAAATCATCTTAATATCGAGCTTTCAAATACTTGGGAAATATATTACATTATTGTTATATAAACATAGTTACAGTATTAAATGTATATAATCCGTGTAGAAAATCATAATAGGTGTGTGTTAAAAGATGATCCACATCCACGTCCTTATTTATTCAAACTATAACTCTCTTCAACTTGAATAATTTACTTCTAGTTCAATTCTAATTTCATCTGAACAAATTCAGAATAGACCACATTACAATTTTGACCGGAACATACATACGTATGTATATGCATAGAGCCTTTTCTTGTCCCAACTCAACCTAAGACTTTTGCTAACTTTCTAGTTCCTTGTGTTAGGTGTAGAACTTAATTCTCTACTGAATAGCATCATTTTTAATACGGGTCTTCGGGCAAAAAAATAGAGATTAAGTCCTAAATACTGGGTCTTTGATTCTCTTCTGGTAATAAATCTTGTCCTGATTCACTCTACGGCTTTTGTTGATTCTCAAAGTGATTGTATTAAATGCACAGTGTCATCATTCTACATTGGAGGATATGGGTGTGTGAATGTAAATGAATGTCCTCATCGACACCTACACTCACATTCAGAACACAATAATTTGAAGAATCAACACAAGTTGCAAAGCGTATCGGAAGAAAGTTTATTGTAAGAGTAAGATCAAAAACTCAATATTTCCGGGCGAATCTTCTTTTGTAGCCCGATAATCCTTATTGAAAATGGTACTGTTCGATAGAGAATCAAATGCTGCATCTAACAAAACGAACTAGAAAACTAATACAAGTCGTAGAATGAATGGAGAGAAGAAAAGGTCGAATCCGATGCTAATTTCACTTACGTTGGTTTTGTTTTCACGCGAAGAAAGTACGAAAAATTTCTTCGGAATACTTTTTTTGTTATCTGTTTTTTATAAACACTTTTCATTAGTGTAAACCTAACATTCAAAGAGTTTCTCCGATTCCTTATTTAATTTTTATAAAATTGTAGACAATTGAGATCCAATGTTGTGCATTCATTCGTATTACTGCTGGTTCCATCCGGTTTAAATCACATTGAATAATATTGATGATTGTCGTTTGAAGTGACATTATAGAGTTGAATATCAACATTATTATGATGTTATAATAAAGTTTGATATGCAACGACAGTGTAACTAAAAACCATTTTATTGTAATATAAATGTTCATTTATTTTCAATATCATTTCTTGTAACGATCCAATTCTAAATTAGAGCATCCAATTCAAGCTAACTCTGACAGCAAACTGACAGATTGTGAAAGCAAATCCTATCATCAAAAAATGACGCAAATTTATTTTTAAATTAATCTGTTCAAAAAAAATAATAATAAATTTTGTATGATAACAAATAAAATTGTTGACATCAGATTTCAAAATAAAAAAAGTATATATATATCTTTTTATGAATAAATAATGATGAAGATATAAATATTTTGTTTTTCAATAATATCTTCAATAGACATGATGAAAATAAATTCTAATCTTATTATTTATTGACAATAGAGTCAATGAACAAATATTTTAAATAATTTTTATTTATTTGTATAGGTTCACTTATCCTAATTTTATCAAATGAAAAATTAAAACAAATATTTTTTCTTGTAAAGAATTGAAATTACTAAAGAGAAAAAAAGAAAATAAATTTAAATGAACATATCTACAAATTAATATTTGTTTATAAATCAATTTTAGTGTTCAAGTTTTTTTGATATATTAGCTTCATGCATCAATCGAATTATATCTTTTCGAGTTAACATACCATGAAGATGACTAAAAAGAATTATAGTTTTATTATTCAGATAATAAAAAAAAACAAAACAATAGAATTTTCTTACCCATTCTTTGTAACAAATATTTGTCGACAACCTAATTTTCTAAACATATCTACTACAGCTTCCATTGGTGTTTGATCTGTTACAATAATTGGTGCTCGATCAACTAATTTATGTAATTTTAAAACTTTTGATGACTGTAATGCTAATGATGCTCTACGCATTCCAAATGATGATGGTTGACCCGATTTATTTAATAAACTTGACATTGATACAACTGAAAACTTTCGATTTAATGAAGGTTTTAATTTTACTTGTGTTAATTGAGTTTTTCGTGATTTAAGTACGGCTAATAAATCACGTCGTTGAATTTGACCAACAATACAAGGAAAATCTTCATTTATAATAACAGGATAAATTGAATGTGGATAACGATGAAGAAGTTTGTCTATTTGAGCTATTGTCATGCCATCTTGAATCATACATGCTAATGGAATTGTTTCATCAGAACGATTTGCACGCACTGCTTCACCAGCTTTTAGAGTAAATCGAAAACTTTCACGATTTTCTAAATACAAATAAGGTCAATAATTCATTTATCCTTTTTTTTTTCTAATCGTTTTTTTCTTATTACCTAAATATGGATAACCACTTAATTTAACATTCTCCTCATAGATTCCTTCACCAAATGTATCTCCAACCCATTTCGCTGCTAATGCTGTAACCATTAGTGGAACAATATAAGATAAACCACCTGTAACTTCACTCATAATAACAACAAGAGAAACAGTCGTTCGACTAACTCCACCTAAAAAAGCACACGCACCAACAACTGCATATAATCCAGGTGTAACACAATGTTCATTAGAAACTCCACATTCATGTCTTAGTATAGCTAAATGTTGATGTTGATATGCTATTTGTTCTGTTATAATACCGATAAGTCGACCAGCAATAGCTCCTATTGAAATACTGGGAATGATTAAGCCTGATGGAATTTTTGTACCAATAGTAAAAACAATAAGAATTGTTTGAACAATTAATGCCCAAAATAATTGCCAAATAGCACGATGTATACCAGGACCAGCAATAGCTGCATATAATTTCGTTGTAGCTGTTCCTATTGGTTGGTCTCGTTCATAATCACTGCAAAAATTTATTAGAAAAGAAAAATTCTTATATATTTATAATTATTAAAGACAAAAAAACAAAAATAAATTTACCATAAATCCATATGATCATCTACACCACATTGTCCCACTAACCGTCGAATTAATTCAGGCATTGTTAATCTTAAATAAAGATTTGGATAACAAATAATAGCTGTTATTAAAGTTAATATAATAACTTCTGCACGTGGATATTGTCCAATTAGACTAGTTTTTTTATATTTTAACCATCGAATATTTGTTTTTATAAATACTGTTCCCCATAAACCTCCTAAAATTCCAAGACAAATAAATGGAACAACTTCAAATGTTGCCCATGGAACATTATATTCAACAGGAAATTGAATTTCATGTCCATTACCATATGGATTTATTATACGTACAACAAGAGCACCAACCATACAACAAAAAAATGTTCGCCATAATGTTTTATATGGAAAATAATAACTAATTTCTTCTAAACCAAATAGAATACCACCAATTGGGGCACCAAATGCAACAGAAACACCTGTAGCAGCTGCTGCAGATAATATTTCACGTTTACGTGCTTCATTATGACCATACTTTGGAAAAAGTTCTAAATATATAAATGAAATTAATAATTTATATAAGATAAACAAAATTTTTTATTTTACTTGAAAAAAGATTTCCACAACAACAAGATATATGTACAAATGGACCTTCTTTTCCTACAATGAGACCTGAACTTGTTGCAAATATCATACCAATACTTTTAATAAAAAATGTCCATTTGCCCAAATAACCATACATTATAAAACCTGATAGAATTGTTTTTATTTCAGGAATTCCTAAAATCATTTATTTTTTTTTTACATATTAATAATTCAATTATGCATTATGGTTTATAATAAAATTTACCTGATCCACTTGCATATGGAGCAGAACCAACAACAAGACAAACAATAAAAGTAGCATAAATAACAGACCAGAATATAAACATAAAATACCGGAAAAACCAAGCACTAACGGATAATTCATTCATACCAAATATTTCAGACCATGTTTTCCACTATAACAAAAAATTAAAAAAGAAAAATATTTCATTAATTATAATTACTATTGAAAACTTTTTATTTTTAAATTATGAATTACTTACATGTTTACATAATTCACTATGAACATTATCAAATTCAACATCTCTCGAACCCCAACAACATTGTTCTCGATTAAGCCAAAATGCAGGTGTACAAACACCAGTTCGCCAATGACTCATCCATTTTGCTCCAATATCAACAAAACCAGCTACAAGACCTAATAAACAAAAAACAAAAGAAATAAATGATATTAAACGAAATATCAATCTACCAGCTGATATACCAACTAATAATACACAAATCCATCCACTCCATGCATCAAACCAAAATGTAAATCGTTGTCGCCAACCATCTCGCCGATGTGCCCGTAAACTACGATGACGAATACGATTTCGCATTAAATCTTTTAACCAATCGATAGTTTCAAAATTTTCATAATGTTTACGAACAACATATGCCACATCAGTTACTAGAAGTAGTAATTAGAAAAATAAAATAAAATAAATATAATTACAGATATTTTTATAAACCTTCTTCATCATATTGATTTGTTGATGGACTACTGCCACCACGATTTGGATCAACTATTGTAACAGTCGTTGCAGTACCAGGTGTCATACTAACAAATTCAACTTCTTCACCGCTATCATCTTGATCAACACTTGATAAAATTCTTTCATTTTCATGATCACTTTCATTGTTTTCATCATCTTCTACACTTGGTACTGGTGAAAGATAAAGTCGTGTATAACTATCTGTTGACAGATCACCTGAAAATAAATATTCATACGTTTTACTACATTAAAAAATATAATACACATACGATGGAGTTTTCTTTCGTTAACACTACTACCGGTGCCACTACCACCAATAGAGGATGCCATATGCGTAAAAATACAAGAATAAAGCAATAATTTGAGAACAAAAACGATGAGAAAAAATGAGATTCTTTATTAAGTTCAAAGAGGAGAAAAAGCGTACTGCTTGACTGACTTCTCTCTTTGTATGAATCCTATGCCTAGTGGTGAATGTATCATGAGAGTACAAATATGATGGTTACTTTAATGTTTTTGATCGTTCTTTTTTTTCTCTCTCTCTCTCTCTCATTTCATCGTCACACTTTTTTTTATACGTCGTTATTCATTCTTCTTGAGTACATTTATTCTTCGTTTCAAGGTGGAAATTAATGTTGATGTATAATATGTAGTTGAATATGTATGACGAAAAGCAAAACAGAAGAAAAGAATTCAAACGAGCAATACTTCATCAAATATGATATACTGTAAACTTCATTCTTACTCAATTACATGAACATATTCAATGATAAAGACAATCAAATGTATTTTTAGATTTTAAATTATATTTCTATCGAATTTGTTTTCGTGAATATACAACATGTTCTAAAAAAAATATTTATATTTGTCTAATTTAATTACTGAAAATGAGAAATATTTTTCAAACATAACAGCCATGTTTGTATAGAAATTGTTACGGTTCACTGATGTTGGTACATTCATTTTTTATGGACATTGAAAATATAATTTTCAGCATAATTGTTTGTGATAAGATAAATTTATTGATAGATTTTGTCACATTTAGCCATAAGGAAATTATCATTTTAAATGACCTTGATATTATTATTATTATTTGTAATTAAAATTCACTACCTTGACGCTTTTCAGTGTTAAAATAATGCAAAAATGAATTGCTTTTGGCGACAAAAACTATTAATTGATATGATTAAAGGATCTTCTATGTCTATGATTAATAAGGAATCTCGCATACTTTGGAATTTTAACAAAAATATACATAGAAGAAAAATAATCATGTTGTTTTTTACTTTGGATGTGATAGGATTCAAATTTTTCTCAATGACAAGAGACCATCAGGCAGCATTGGCTTGTGTACCAGGGTAACATATATAATTAAGAAGTTAAATAAACAAATTGTTTACTCCATTGAAATTTTCGATGTTGAATACTGTCGTCAGAGGCAACTTTTTCTGTTCAACGAAATACATGCTGATACTTAGTCAATTCTCTTTTTCTGTTGCGAGTCAGAATGTGATAAAAAAAATGATTTTTCTACAGTTAACTGTTGATAGTGCTCCCACATTTTCTTGGCAATAAAAGTTAAAATATTTGTCTAGTATTCTCCAAAATTGTATCAATATTTGGTCTGCAAAATTCAATTATTTAAAGAGTTTTGACAATTGCTCGAATGCAGAATTGATCATATTTATCTGAAGAAAACACTTTCGTTTTTGTTAGTTTGAGGCTCAACTTCAACGATTGGTAAAATAAGCAATGTTCGAAAGAAAAATTCGATACTAAGATCGAATTCATTCTGAAAAACTAAGTCAGATGATAGAAACTTTATCAAAAATATTTTTCGACAGAAGGATGTCAGTGTAGATGTGCACATGTGGCTGAGAGGATGACTGTGAATAAAATGTGCTCAAACAGTCAAAACCACACTCACATACGCGTGCACAGCTACGCCACAAACGGTGATACCCACACTCTCAAATTTTTTGTTCTGCAATAATATCATATTATTTAGATAATAAAAATATCAATTGTAAAAATAAACATATAGTTCAACCGTTCGATATAAGTTCTCACATTGGTTTCATTTTTAAGCAACAGTCACCCCGTCATCTTCTTTTGAATGCACTACAAATTCTAATGAGTGAAATATTAATTGTCGACTCCAATGGATATTGGGATTAGAGATAAAGAAGTATCGTAAATATAATTCCTTCTATTGGTTAGACCAACAAATTGTGATTTTTGGCGTCTATTAAGAAAACATTTATTGGAATGTACTCCGTAATTATGTTGCGATCCATATTAATGAGTAACTTCTCATCATGGTTAACATAAAGCATTAATCATATGACCATTGATTTTACCAACTTGTCCTTTTTATGGTTTTTGACAGGAGGTATTTGGAAGATTCATCGATTTTTCGTATTCATTAAGTGATTATTGAATAGTTTCAATAACTTTCAAATCATTCATTATTCAAAAAACAATGATAAACTTAGTTGAATTCCTAATGATTTTGCTGATTTCAATTGAATCAATGTTAGACATACGAATGAAGACAATGCTCGTGCAATATGTTCACGTAAAAATCAGGAAAGAATTTATTTTTGTTAACATGGTTATTCTTGTATAGTTGAAAGCGATTTGAAAAAGCTAATGCTCATATATTCAACAGTACAAAATTTTATAAACTGTCCAAGTGAAATAATATTTATTAATTATTTAGAAGATATTTTTCTAATTAAATATAATTGCCCATAAAGATAAAATATCAATTTATTTAAAAAGTACAATTGAATCCAATTCGTGAATTGATATTAAACAAGTTTAATTTTCTATTAAAAGTATTTATCTTATATTAAGTTGAATTCAATTTAAATAACTTTTATCGATATAAATAGAGAAATAATAAAAGTATAATATGTAATAAAAATCTTGTAGAAAAAAGTTAACTTTATTCTAATCATTTAATTAAGAAAATTACGAGAAAGAAGCTTACATAATCATCTTTAAAAATGATTTCTCTCGACAAATAACTTTGTTTTTTATAGATATAGATAAATTTGAAAGAAATTTTCAATGAAAACGATTCTTTACAATTATATTGATAGATCATTAGTTATTGAAGATCTTGAATATTCGATTTGTAAATAACCACTTGAACAAACTAGTCAATATACTATATTATGATGAATTGTGTCAATTTTCTATTGAAAACAGGTCAATGAGGATTGTAATTCATATTCAACCTGTTGCCGACCACTTTCAATGAGTTTACTCATGTCAGTAGCACGATTTGTTGTTCATTTACTTGATCTTCTTCCAATACATGAGCAATATCAATCTCAACTGAATGAATTATGAAAAAATGAAAAGAACTTATGCAATAATATTCAATAATTGATGGAAAAAAATCAATTAACAAGATAATCGAATACTATAATAATTACAAGTCAATGAACGTATGCAGAATAAAAGTGACATCAAATATTGACTCAATAATAAAGAAGTACCTTGTTAGTCATAGTGATAAAATTATCTAAATTTAACATGAGAATTTGAGTGATTGTTGAATCAATTATTTCAACAGCAACATTTAATATTTTTAATACTTCAATTAAATCTATTGTCTGATTTTTTTAAATGTCAACCACCATTTTTTGAATAACTTTCAAACATTTATAGCTATCGAAATCGAGTTTCCGCCATTAGATAGAACAATGTTTGGAGTGTCTAGTTATGTAACATTCATTAACTTCGAAGAAGTTAGTCAAGGATATTTGTACATGAACATTTTCTTTTTTCGTCGTCCATTTTTACAACTTTTCGTAGGAACCTATGCTTAAATTACACTAAAATGCAGTCCAAAAAGAACTGTATTATCCATAAAATTTTCAAATTTCAGAACACTTCTCTTGAAGCACAAGTCCAAGGTAAGGATGAAAAAATTGAACAATTATAGAGGAAATCCAATACTCTTTAAACTACATTTTGATATAATTCGAGCATAGGTTGATATGAAAAGTTGTAAAAATGGACAACGGAAAAAATGTTCACATATAAATATCCTTGAAAAACTTCTTCAAACTTAATGAATTTTACACAAATAGACACTCC